CAATCTCCTCCTGTACCAGTCAGATCCAATTTGACAGTACACACAAAAAATAAAATTAAAAAAAAAAACCAAACTATGAAATTACCCCTGGAATATATCTTTTCCTCACTCAGAGATAGACCAACTTGTTTCCTGACACTTCATGTTCACAACGTACACGTGGTAGAAACAACTGCCAAAGTGAAAGGTGAGAATGACGCCGGCTGTGATGGTTCTTTACAACACGGCTGCACCAGCTGCTCGGCAGTCAGGTAAGGACGTAGTTATTTGCGCCCACTGCGATCGGATATGGTCATCCTTCATTTTCACATCCTGACCTGTTCTATAGAAAACTCACTTTCTGTCAAGTCAGAACCAACTCAGAGCTGAGCCTCCAGTAAAGGCTGGAAATTCCATGGAGGGCGCCCATCTTTTCCTCTGGAGCCACCTTTAGTTTAACAGCTCAACTCCCCGCAGATTACACCACCAGGGTTTCCTGAAAAGTGGGGAGTAGGTCTAAAAGAAATACTCTTCACTCAAGTGGAAAATGGAGTGTTAGTAGCACCCACCTTGCAAAAGAGGCTCGGGAAGTGGTCAGGAGTCATAGGTGCGTAAGACAACTCAGACAGAACATCCACAGCACGGGGGCCAATCAGGTTGAGAGCTAAATAGAAAAAAAGGGTGGTTTTATCCTTCCAGTTGACCACTTGAGGCTACGGCCAAGGCTCACCCTGGGCCAGTCTTGGGTGCTAAGACCATAAAAGCACCGTGTGCAGCAATCTTAAGCGTGGACACAAACCATTCAACCCACCGCCTGAACGACACGGCTGCTGAGTACAGCGACAGCCACAGCTGGCACACAGGCCTGGCTAGGTTTCCTCTTCCCAGGTACACAAGGCGACAGCATTCCACAGCTCCCCTGGCAGGTAGTACGGGACTACAAGACCAAGTCCTGGCACATGAGCCTGTTTCCGGGGCTAGCTAGTATTCCCTGCACAACTCCTGTCCTATTCCCTTCTCAGTTACTTTAGAAGTCACAGCTTCCAAGAATTGTTGACAACACGATGGAAAAAACCGGGACCACAAACTAGTGCCTGGAGCAGAGGTACACACCTGCCCTGGACTCCGATGCTCTGACAACTGGTAGAACCAGGAAAACCCTTTTGTTCTGCAAGTCTGTAATTTGTTGATGTGGCAGCAGGACATTAATGACTTTAGATACCATGAGTAGTTAAAATCAGGACCTGGGAACCGGACCAGGAAGGCAGTAAAGGGGGTGGCAGAGGGGCTGACCAGGAGTGTGGAGGCAGGAAAAGAAGGGCAGCTAGGAAACTGAGCTAACCTTTCTAAATAAGATGAGGGGAAATTCTGAAGAAAATATTACCCAGGTAACAAATAGGAAAATCCTTTGGAACATGTTTCGACTCACTTTTTCAATGAATATGTGAAGCCTTAAGTATTAGCTGTAAAGCATATGTAAGCGAACAAAACAAATATTAAGTCATTTCCTACTTCATTTATAGGAAAGGGAGGAAGTTTTACAGATTAATTTTCTGTGCCCAACGAGCCTGTTTGGTATTAATTTTGATCTCCTTCATTGATTAAATGTCGAGGCTAAATCTGGAGCTGCCGGTCTTTCCTTGCTGACTGGCCAGAGGCCCCTCACCAGTGTACTTCCAGCTGACGTCCTCCAGAATCAGGCTGCTGTCTGTCGGCATGTGCTTCTTCAGCCAGGACCAACAGTGGACTTGCTGGTCAGTTGGAGAAATCATGAAGAAACTGAAAAGGAGATCCAAGAATAATCAACACGGGGCAGTAACAAAGCTTCAAGAAGCAAGCACATTTTTATCAAGTTTGTTTGTTTTTATACACAGAATATACACCAGTTCAACAAATGCTGAATGTGATACCTATTATATACTTTAAACTGTACAACTATCCTCACAATGGTGTTCTTAGTTGTTCATTCTCCTTAACATAAACTTGATGCCACTTCAGCTTCCTATCTAATCTTTTGAGTTGCTGTCAACTTGAGTCCATCCAGATAAGATTTTTTTTCAAATTTTATTAATTTTAATGAACATTTAGAGATTTTGGATTTCCATTCATTGTTGTATCCAGACAGATCTTAAAAGAGCACAATGCTCAACATATTTTACTTGTTAAACTAATCAGTTGTCTAGTTTTAAGAGATATTAAGAAGATTATTTTTGGTTTCAAGTTTAAGGGTTATCTCAGGGCAAGAGTGCCAGGGACTCATTTAGTCTTCAGAAAGACTCCAGAAAATCTGGATTCCAGGAGAATTTGAAATTGTTCTGCACTTTCCCCCTTTTTGATCAAGATTCTTTCATCTTTGATTAAAATTGAGACTAGTAGCTAGGTGGTAAACACGAGCATTGAACCTGTTACTAGGCCAATTTACTGGGAGGGTCCTATAAAATCATGACCCTAAACCTTTAAAGCAAGGAATTAAATCTCATGAGCTATCTGGTTGCAGCAGATAGTCTTACTGTTGTAAACGTATCATACAACTTTTGCTAAGTCAACTTTTTAGGTGTGCAACTTAAGACAATACCATACTGGCTATCCAACCTTACCCTCAAGTGACACAATTTTCCTATCATTGCAGACTAAAACTAAGTACTCCATAGCTATATTGCCCCTTTCTTTTTCCCTCCTACCTGATAACCACTGATGGACACATTGCCTGTTCTTGGTTGCTGTTGTTTTTTTTGTGAGTTACATAATATTTCTTTTTCTGTAATTGAATTATTTCCCTTAGCATAATGCTGTAAAATCCCACTCACACTCAACAATGTGGTAACACTGCACTTCCCTTACTGGTGGAGTGGTATTCCATCATGTGCATACGCCACACTGGGTTTTGGCCATCACCTGCTGACAGGCATTTAGTAGGTCGTGAACAGTGTTACAATGCATAGTGAGTGGTGTACAAGTATTTCTTACAGTCTGCTTTGAAGCCTTGGATTTATATATACCTAGGGATGGAATTGTTGGGTGACATGGTAATTCAATTTATAGCTTTCTGATGAACTGCCAGACTGTTTTCCACAAAAGCTGTACCATCTTGCATTCCTGCCAGGAATAAATGGCTCCAACTCCCTCATAGCCGACTTTCATTATTTATGTAAGTCTTAGCCATCCTAATGGGACTGAAATGGTATTAAGATAAGTGCATTTGGTTTGTATCTTTCTTGGCTAGCTAGTGAGACTGAGCATCTTTGCATGTATTTCATGGTCATGTGAATGTCTTCATGATGAAATGAAACATCTATTCAAATCTTTTGCCTACTTTATGACTAGGTTGTCTTTCTGCTGTTAAGTTATATTTTTTGTTATAATATTCTTATCAGATACAGAGTTTCCAATTATATTCTCCAACTCACCAACTTGTATTATTTTCTTTTCTAGTATTCTGTTGAGCAAAATTTTTCATTTTTATAAGGTCCCATTTGCTTTTTTTATATTTCTGCTTTTGTTTATTAGATAATCCACTGTCAAAACACAAGCCCACAAGCACAACCCCTATATTTTCTTCTAAGTATTTTTATCATTTTAACTTTCATGTTTAGACCTTTAATACATTTTTGTTTTAGTGCAGTTTGACACATGGCTCCTGTGGTTTTTTTTTCAGTGTGGAAATCCAATGTCCCAAACATCATTTATTGGAGAGTTCCCATTGAATGAACTTCAAGCTCTTGTAAAAAATCAGTGGACAAAAGCTGTGCAGGTTCCTATCTAGTTTAGCTTGTTTTTAAAATAATGGGTTACTGTGTTTTAAGCAAGTTTACACAAAAAATTAACTCCCTTTAACAACTTTTACACAAACTGTTCTGCGTCACTGGGTACACTTTTTACAGGGCTCTCACTACTTTCCATCTGTTTCCATTGATCTAGCGTCTCTTCCCCTCCGTGCCTTCTCATCTTTGGTTCCGGGTAGATGTTCACCACCTATTCTCATGTAATAAACTATTTAAGGGAGCACAGCACTTGTGGGTGACAAGTGACAGAGCCAGTTTATTATGTCCCTGAAAGGTGACTTAGAGTTCTCTTCTAGTTCTGAAGCAAAGAGAACAACAGTGAATGATGTCTCAGGTTTCAAGGAGTGTCGGGGCACCATTCTAGGCTTTACCACATAATGACAAAACTAAAGATTCGAGCTTCCTGTTAGTGCTCAAAGAACGATACAGGCTTACTAATGGAAGATGTGCCATCCATCCTTGTAGGACAACTAACTCTTCTATCTGGAGTTTACCACAACCTTGTAGTTTCTTCTCCTTTATAAATTTCCTTTCGTATTGTGTGACTTGTGAACTTGCTGGCTTTGGATGCAGTGTTCTGTGCAGTCTAATGTTTCCTGGAAAAATGAGTTAGAGTCTTGGCTTGGCTACCACTCCTGTAAGAAGCTAGTGAGGCGGCAGGAGCTCAGCTCACCTGCGCTTGTTGAGTCGAGCTATGCTGCAGTCGTTCTCGTAGCCTCCATTCTCGTTGAGCATTCCGGTGTGTACGATGAGGCCCACGGGCACATCAAGGTCATTGGAGAAGAGGTACTGCAGCGTTTCCAAAGCCTGGTCCCCAGTGGACTGCAGGGTGAGAGAATCAAGCAGGGAGGGTGAGCACAGCAGCAAATGGCTGGGTCATGATGCATGAAGAGCAAGGCAACTACAAGATTCAGCCAGCCGGGCCCTCACACAACAGCGGCACAGTTCCTGCTGTAAGGAGCGCAAGAGAAAGTCAGCCCCTGACTGTAAAGAGAAATGGGCTGCTCAGTAAACAAAAAGCCATTAAATGTTAAACAAAAAGCTTAAAATTCAGAAAAACAGTGTACTACAGCTAAACAGAAATATTCCAGAGTTTTCATTAAATTAGTTTTGAAGAGACAGGCAGGAAACAGAAGGATTCAATAAATAGGAAAAGTTCCTTAATCTGTTAGTTCTGTTTTATAAAAGAGCACATACTTACTGTTATTTCAAACTTCGTGAAAGAGGACATGTCAATGACACACACGGCCTCCTTACAGCACTTGACCTCAGACTCCACGATGTCAAACCAGTCTGGCTTGTAGAAGGTCTTGCTCTGTTCCAGCGTCAGGAGGTCTACAGACAGGAAATGGAAGACAGAGAGGAGAGGACTTATAGTTCAGATCCTCCCTGCACAATTTACTATAAAGGTTTTAATCACCTCTAGTTTGCACACATTCTAAATTAAGTTTTATTAACTCTCAGGATAAAAAACCAAACCAAAGAAGAAACAACTAAAAAGGGGAATGTGACTTTTTACCTTTATCAGGTGGAACAAAGTACTTTGGCCTCTCAAATCCATGTTTCTCCATCCATCGGGCTCCCTGGGCGTCCAACCGGTCATAAAGAGGAGATGTACGTAGCTGCCTCCCAGTCTGGAAGTCCCAGCGGGGAACCTTCAGATCATACAACAGAGCTAGACAGAAAAGAACAGTCTATCAGAGCCCACACATGGACTCTAGAGCTAATACCCAATATCCACTATACTCTGGAGTCATTCTTGTTTTCTAGGCCAACATAGCCTAAAATGCCAAGTACTACCAAGGAGAGAAGGCATGCTTCAGAAGACAGGTAACAGCATGTGAAGTGCAACTGGCCCTCCACAAATTACACAGCCATGAGTCACATCACACTTTAGGCCTCTTCTGGTATTTTAAGCTCTACTTTTCCCTCCTACATGTTCTGTGAGGTCTGCAATTTCTATCTTCTAAGAATCAGAGGCTACAAAAGTTTAACACCAAGAAGTTCAAGCTCAATTACGATTTGTACAGATTTTAAAGTAATTATGGATAGGGAGAGCTCGACTTAAATAAGGGACCTTTACAGGGACATGTATTGTCTCCGAGTTTTTCATCTTCCGCTGGATATTAAGTTCTCTGGAAAGGTCAAGAGTGAGCACTCAGGTGCTGAAGAGTATTCAAAGGTCACATCATGAATACAGTCCAGATACTAAACCAACAGTTCACTCTTAACCAAAGAAGACAACTATAGCCAATGTAGAAATTTACTCTTGAGAATGAAAAACATGCCTGAAGTATTTAGATAACTCTGGAATAGTTCTGTTCAAGGAAATAAATTACAACTTGTCAAAACCCACATAATTTGGTTTAACTCCTGATACACAAGAAATCAGGGAAGGGAGAAGTGAAAGAGGCTCATCCTTCAAAGTTGGAAAGAGCCAAAAGCAAGAAAGAAAAGAACAGGTTTGTGTTTGTGTTGACATGAGACATGGTGTCCTGTCACATAGTGAAGACAAAGTCACCAGAAAAGAAGCTATATGCCCCTCATCTATAAGTTTGTCCCACTGTGATGGCTTGTTTAGATGCTAGAAGTTACATCAGTGTTTCAAGTACTTTCCGTACCAGACTGGTTTCAGTGAAGTTTGCAGAATAAAGCATGCTAGAAGGAAAAAAAAAGGAAGCTATAAAGTCAGAGAACGTAGTTTATCTGTCAAATTATCTGCCTTAGAAAATTAGCAAAGGTCTCAAAGACCAGCAAGGAGTGTCAGAGGATTCACTCTGACATGGGGTCTTTTCAAAGCAAAATGGGAAGAGGCAGAAATTAACACTTCCACATCTTATTCTACTTCCTGATTTCAAGAAAGCCTGAAGCCAACATCTGGGGACAATACCAAAGAAGTTACTTAGGAACTGACACACACCTGCCCTTTTGGTAGACCTTCTGGTCGACCTGCACCAGGGTCTGACTGGGACGGGATTCACTTACGCATGACTTCCATGACTCGGTGGCGCAGGAAGGTGCGGCTACTCTGGAGGGCTCCAAATCGTTTCAAGTCCAAGTCCCAGACGTTTTCCGAGGGATAACCATATACCATCCATTCAGCCAGGTACCTAGGGGCAACAGTTGGTAGGCCTGTTTATACATGTTCAAGAAGGTAAAAGCACTGGAAGAGGAATCAAGAATCAATCACAAAGGGGAGCTCTGGTGGCCTAGTGGCAAGGAACTGCAACTATAATCCCAGAGGTGCACGGTTCAAACCCACCAGATGCTCTGCCGGGGAAGGATGGACAATCTCCTCCTGTACCAGTCAGATCTGATTTGACGGTACACACACACAAAAATAATAAAATTAAAAAAAAATCATCATTTATTACAAATGAAGAATGAAAGGACATCACACAGGTTTTGTGACTAACTCCAAACAAGTTCCAGAGACCTTTTGCCCAATGATAACATTTGTGGAAGGAATACAGGGTGAGCCTGTGGTGCTTACTTTGAAAGGAAGGAAAAACTTTCAAGTTCCATGTACCTAACGTGCACTTTCACATCAGATTACATATATTACGTACAACATGAACAACAACAAGTCATTCTAGAAGGAAAGAAGCCCTTGCAGCAAGCTGACCAATTTTCTGGTTAACTTGAGGAGCAATACTTACTTTCCTGCTCCTCCACCAAATGACAGGCCAGCAGAGTTCATTCCTGCCAGGACGAAGTAGCCCTGAACTGTGGGAGATTCACCCATGACACAGCGCATGTCTGGTGTGAAGGTCTCAGGGCAGTTGACCAACTTCATAATCTCCAGGGCCTCCAATTCTGGCATCCGCCGCAGGAGGGAACTCAACAGGGGCTCTGAGCAATAGAAATAAAGTGAAGTCCTAATCTTTAGGGAATTCAAAGCCTTTAATTTCAAGCCTGTATACATATATTTTGTTGGTTTTGGGATTCCCCCCCCACCCCTTTCCCATTTACTCTCCTTTCAAAAGAACCCTTGGGAGAAATTTTCTAAAAAGAGCCATCTAGGCTATTTTTCAGGAAGCAGAAACCCCGGTGGAATCAGACAGAGAACATGTTTGCAAATTCTTCGGCATAAGGGACTGAGAAACAAAGATGCTCTTTACAAAGGTGAGGAGCTATAGACTACAAATAATCCATCCAGTTATAAAGAACAACCTCTCAGGGGTCAGTGCAAGTGGAAAAGCTCTTGACCAGTACCCAAAGGGATCACCATGAAAGGCAGTGTTTTCACAAACTGGGAAAAGTGTGAAAGACAGACTCTCACTGTGTTTTCCAGTAAGGCCCTAAAGGAACACAATGAGCCAACATCTGCCAAAGCTGGCTGGTGTGTACAATGGGGTTCCTTCATACTATTCTTTCCTCTTTCCACTTTTAAAGGTTTGAAATTTCACATAAAAAAAAGTGTGTTAAGAGGGGAAAAGTCCACAAAGGGTAGGAGTGAAACTTTTCATTCTACTCTTTCCTCTATTTGAATTTGGAATTGTGTTGACTATAGTATCTTAGTAAATAAAATTAAATTTACCAATAAAAGTTATTTAAAAGACTAACAAAAATTATCCTGCTTTACAAAAGAAATGAAAGAAAGAAAAAATATCACTACTATAAGAATGCCTCTCAGAAAAAGGTCTTTAACCTAAAGTCTCAGAAATGATTTTACATGAAAAATAAGCAGAAGTCAGTCAATTGAGGGGTTAGAACCTGGAATCTGCTGCCACTGAACTCTGTAATGAACCACTGTTGGAAAACTGTCCACTGTCCTGCCCCTTGACCACACAGGGTCATCATGAAGCTCAAGTATGGAAGGACTCTTCAAAAGGCTTTGAAAAGAAAACAATCTCAAACAAACCCAAGCCACCAGGGTTATAATCCAGCTCACACACCGAAGTGATCCCAATCTTCCTGAAGACTGTGAATCTCCAGCTGGTTCTTGCCCTCAGTAAAGATTGGTTTCGGGTTCCTCTCAAAGCCGCCGGACAAGATGCCTCCTTGCCAGTTCCGAATATAAATCCTCCCATCAGGATCCACAACAGCTGAGGAAAAGAAATAAGGGAGTGGGGAGCAGAAGAGAAAAAAATGAGGGTTTAGAGGCAAGCCAGCTTTGTGAATTGATAGAAAAGAAATAAAAACACACGTTAATGGTTTTAATAATGACACAGCATTGAATAAAACACACACATTCATTAGCATTCAAACACCTTTCAAGGGTGTGGGTGAAGAGCCTTTTTCTCAGATTTATGGTGAAGACTCATTTCCCCAAATCTAGCAGTTACTAAGAAATTTTGACAAGTCCCCGTAGCCAAACTATTTAACTGTTTCTGTGTCAACAAGAGTATCTAAGAGCAAGGGGGAACGGCAGGGCCCGTTCTAGGCACTGTAAGCTCCAAATAACAGCAATATGCTTTGAGACAGCACTTTGAGCACAAAGCTGCATCAGTTTATTGCTTACCTATGACACTTCTACAGTTTATAGCATTTTAAGCCAAGAGTTCAAGGCTACGTTTCCTAGCCAAACATTCTCAATGACCTGTATTTTGGACTAAAATTAGTTTTTGGAGGGAAAAAAGGAGAAAAAAAAATTTTAATCTTAAATAGAATGCATATTTGGGCATTCTTTGATAGAGTCATTAAAGAAAAGTTAGAATTGGGTCCACCTCCCTGAAACATGCTCCAGAAAAGAAAAGACAAGACTTTTTGGGTATAGTCTGTCCTTAATCGGAAGTCTTTCTTTTGAGAGGACAGAATACTGGCAAGTAAACAAGATTAAAAAAAATTGCAAGTCCTCACTTGGTGTGTTGCTCTGCAGAGGGGTCTCCAAGGGGCGAGTCAGAAGGTAGAAGTGTTCGCAGGCATGTAACGGGATACTAACCGGCTCCTCGTTGGACAGACCCAGCTCGTATGCCCACTACAAATGGACAGATTTATTTGTGGGTGGGAAGAGGAACAGAAATACAGATGAGCAAGCTCTGCCTCTTGAAAAGGGTTTAACTTCAAGTGGCTCATGTGTGCTCTTGCCACGATGTCAGGTGGGGGAAGCCAAGTTAGAGCCTGCTTTAGTTCCACTACTTGGACGGGGAGCAACACTATCCATTTAAAACTATAAAAACTACTTTTAGACCAAATGAAGAGAGATGACAGCAGGTAGTATAGGGAGCATATGAGGCCCTCTTTAACAAAATGCCGATTGTTAAATGAACTTAACAGGACAAAGCATTTCCCAGGTGGATGCAGCCTGGTGGTTTAGAAACTGAACCTATGCTCCTGACACAATGACATAGTGCAATACATTAACTGTGAGGTTGCAGAATAAAACACAGAACTACACAAAGACCCAACACCAGTGCTTGCTGTTTCCTCGCCTTCCTAATTGGGCCACCCAGTTAACCCAGGTGACGAGGAAAAGGCCACAGGCGCTGGGTTTTAGGAGGAAACCACAGGTTTCTGATTTATAGCATGAGTTCTGAGATGATCTGGTTAAGAACAGTGAGGTCTCTCTCTGTGGTATATTTAGTCAGACATGATTATTACTCTATCTTTTCTACGCCAACAAATCCTGGAGACAAAAGTTAAACAAGAAAGTGAGTGACCCGTGTTGTCACCAACCTACCTGACCAGCACAGTTGACAAAATACTGGCAGTCAATCTGTCCTTTATCTGTCTCCACGCCAGTGACTTGACCTTTTTTGACTATCACGTGAAGAACAGCTGTCCGGTCGTAAATCTGAACATCTGTCCCAAGGTAAGGAAAGAAAAGGTGCATCATCTGATTTTCTAAATTTATGGCATCTGCAACAGATTCTCAGGCAACAATAAGTAGTGAAAACCCTAGGTCAGTGAGTACCCTAATCAAAACCCAAAACTGGAGAAATCGTGTCAACAGGCCTTTTGAAAACAGAATGCAATTTAAAGGAAGACTTCGGCACACAATCATTACATTCCAGAAATTATAAAAGTAGCAGACAAGAAAGCGGTCAAGTAGGGTAAAATCCAAATCTACCCACGTCTGTAATCAAAGCATCAATCAAAGCATCTAACTCCCTGGATGTGGAGAAGTCTTCCTTTCATTCATTTCAATCTTGGGACATGATTTCAGCTGTGGATTAAGTCCTGTAGGTGTGTTCTAACTTTTCCCTCAAGTTCTGTAGGGGGGAAAAAATCCCTTTAAGTATGAAGAGTACAAAGAGCAGTTTCTGGGAACTTCATTAAGAAAAATGTGAGTCTGAGAAAAAATATTTAGTTAGTAACAAATATCAGAAAAGAAGACAAACCAAAACCAAAAAAAAAAACAAACAAAAAACAAATATCAGGGGAACTCTTAGAAAAAACCCTGCAGAATTCGAGGTTTGACAATGGAAGCTGAACATCCCAATGAGAATAATTTTTCCAATCAAGTTGGTGCCACTTTCTGATGACAGTGGGATACTTTTTTAGATAACTTCTTTCTTCCTAACTCAACTTGAAGAAGCCCTAAAACCCCTTCTACTGTGGTTCTGTTTTCTTTTTATAGAATGTGAGGTCAAGTTTATAAATCATAATGGTTAAAAAACACTTACTGTTTTGGGAGGCTGCACTCGCCAGGGCAAGAGCCACATCAGCAGAGGACATGACTGCATCCTCAGGTACGTGCATGGCACCCACCAGGTCATGTACATTGAGGAGAGGGTGAAGTTCAGCCACTCTCTTGGGGGAGATGATCTCAGAAGGGATGCCCATAACACTGTCAGAACACAAGGGGACAATGACACTCTCTGGCCCTGGCCAGAAGTCAAATTGGCAGTAAGATCAGGACAGGCATATAGTGTCATACATACTTCAGCCTTGAGTTGATGCGCTTCAGGGAGATGAGCCGGTCCTGGGTTTGGGCCAGAGAGAGGGAGCCTGTCCTCACGTAACCTGTCAGGAAAACCAGCCCAAACTGAAGCAGAGCCAGTTCAACGCAGAATGGATAGAAAGTATGCCAGACTCTAGGTGAGAAGTCCCATGCTAAATACTGGGACTGTCACTTAAGTCACTCAGGACAAGTAAATCAGGTTCCTGAACTCCAGTGAAAACTAATGCAACCCATGCATTTTACCAAGGCTCCATTGCCTGGAGTTTTGTGAGGATCAAAGGAGATACTAATGTCTATTTTTTTTAAAAAAACATGCACAAGAAAAGATACTATTATTTAGAAACTTGTTTGGAGAGTGAAGGGACATACTCCTCGGACTCCACTTTCATTCATCACTCCATTAGGTAATCTTGTCTTTCCTCCTGTGGGCAGTAAGGTAATCGTTAATGAAGGCCACCCACACCATCAGCCACCAAGTGCTCAAGCTTCCATCTCGTCCCTTTAGTACAAACAGAGGGAACACGACCTAGGCTTACCAAGCAGCCTCTCCTGAACATTTTGTTGTTGTGTACCATCGAATCAGAACTGACGCACACCTGACTTTCCAGTGGGTTTTCAGAAGCTGTAAATCCCATGGGAGGAGACTGCCCCTCTTTCTTCCTTGGAGCAGCTGGTGGATTTGAACCACATAGCCAGAGATCAATGGCAGATCAATGGCAGAAGTCACTTGTCTCTGTGCAATATGCTGGCCAAAATGGTCCTGTTCCTTCTGCCTACATGTCCACACATCCTGTCCTCTGTGCTCCATTTCATTCCTAACACACTGATCACACAGGCCCATGACATCTTCCAAAAAAACTCCTTTCTGTCTGTTAGCTAGTCTTCTGGACACACCATTATTCTCCTTGGGTCAGTGACCAGTCTCTTAAAATGCAGTGACTTTCAGTTCTCATGGGGGAAAAAGCTGTATCAAGACAGACAAAAAGCTTAGCAGCTATGTTCTACTCCATACCAAACATTCCCTACAGGTCAACTTCACTGTGTCTGCACCTATATAATTGTTATGTACTCTCAAGTCAGATGTGGCTCATAGCTGACCCTTCAGTGGTTTTTCAGAGGCTGCGAATCACCTATATAATACATCACATTATTCTATATTACAGAGTCCCTGGATAGTGCAAAGAGTTAAGCCCTCAAATATTAGCGAAAATGATGGAGGTTCAAATTTATCCAGAGTTTCACTGGAAAACATGCCTAGCAATCTGCATAGGAAAGATCTTAGCTGTGCAAATGTTATGGAGTACAGCTCTACTCTGAAATATATGGAGACTCCCTGAGTTGAAAGCCACTCAACAACAACACTACTATATAGTCATATTCCTTCACAAAAGAACTATGTATTGTAACAAACTCAACAAATCAGCCATTAATAAGATTAAAATCCCACTCATTTCTCACATCTCAAAGGTATGTAGCTCAAATCCATCAGTTGTTCTGAGGGAGAAGGAAGGGGAATCTCCTCCCGTGCTATTAACTGCCTCTGAAAATTCACTGGAGGGTCAGCTGAGTCAGTTCTGACTTGATGGTAAGCAGCAACAGCAACACCATTTTCTCACAAATGCTTTTAAAGTCTGAATTAGAGAAATTCTGTTATTATGCTTAGCTTTGTTAAAGGTTCAGAACTATAAACTAGAACTACAAAATAATTTTTAAAAGATATATACAATATTAAAAGACATTTTAAGGAAGACGTGAAAATGGACATCTGAAAAATTAGCCATTGATTTTTTTTCCATGGACCAACTGCTGCAAAATAAAAATAAAAGATATTTCAAAAAAGAACTATAAATGGCCAATAAACATGTAAAATGATGTTTAACTGTAATAAATGGTTATGTCAGAAACCTTTAAAATTGGCCTTTTGATTCACTGCATTAGCTCCCGTTAGAGGCATGATCTCCAGTTACCTTAACTGTGGACACATGGTCTTGTAAATCATCAACATTTTCCACACTGTGAAGGGTAGTGGTGGAGAGAGGGTAAGTATACTCTGAAGTTAACTGTGGCAAGTTATAACCAGAAGAACCCTGGAGATGGAGCCAGAGTTAAAGGTTTTTCTTGCTGAATGATTAAGGAAAAACTGATCTGTAGCTGCTCTGAGATAAAGTTTGTCAGATGACTGAGGAAACCAGAGTTGCCTGTGTGCTGCTGGACCTGTACTTTCACTAATTGAGAAATTGTGTCTTGCTAATCTGCTTTGGGACTCCTGGACCAAAGTTGGACCTACATTGTGTGATACTCTTTGTCTCCCCCAGTTCCTATTTCCTTAATAAACTTCACAACTGAGAGTAACACTGAAACAAACACTGAACTCAAAGATTGGGAGAAATAGGTGCAGAACCATGAGGGGTGCTAAGTATGTAGTTACTTATTTGATACTACTGATGTTACTGATGGGGGCTGTTCTCCTTTATGAAACAGGCAGAAGTCAGACTCAGCCACCCCCATGCTGTATCTGCTCACTATACATAAATCAGAATCTAACAATTCTTTCCTTCTCTTAGATGAAGAAAAAATGAAAACATGAAATGTTAAAATACTGTCAAGAAAAAAGCACTGCAAGACATTGATGACAGCTCTCCTCTTTGGAGAATTTGGCAGTATCTACCAAAGTTTCAAAATATGCCTCTCTTTTGCCTGAATGATCCCTCTTCTAGGAATTAAACTTTAAGAGACTGCATGAGAAAATGATGTTAAACAAATAAAGTTCTTTATTGAATCATTTATAAAGAGTGATAAAAATGTTATGTCATCAAGTAATAGGGAAATACATTAACAAGTTCTGGTATGTACAGGCTATTGAACATTATTCTGCAATTATAAACAACAAAATGGACTTATCTGGAAGGGAGCCTATTTTCTTGGGGTTTTTTTTTTAGGGTGAATATTTTAGGGAATGGTGGCAACTTTTTGTTATCATTTCATTATTTAGAGAAAAATTGGAAGACTAATGACAAAGTCTTTTAGATACTGTTAAACTGTACTACTTATCAATTGTATTTTGCTCTATCATTCATATTCTCTCAAGTTTCTGTTTATACACATACACAAACCATCTGACAGGGAGTTACAGACACTGTGCTCCTATTTCTAAATACCTCAGGGTCCATTTCTTCAAGAACAAAAATATTCTCATTCAGAATCACAGCATAATTATAAAAATTAGGAAATTCAGCACTGATATATTACTGACACAGTAATCTGATCAATGTTCTGACAGAGCCTCTTTTCCCTGGTTGGCCTAAGATTCAATCTGGAGCCAGGCACTGCATTTAGTTGTCTCTTTAACAAGTGCTCCATCTTTCTCTGCTTTCTTGACCTTGACCTTTCTAATAAGTACAGGCACAATGTCTGCATGTTGTTCATATCTGATGTGTCCTCGTGATGAGACTCAGGTTACACATTTTTGGCAGAATACCCACAAGGGATGCTATTTCCTTCTCAGTGCATCGTGAAAGCAGCTACTTGGTTAAGACTGCCATACTTCTCCACTGTCAAGTTAATTTGTTCTTCTGTTACTGAGAACTTGTGGAAGATACTTTTGGACTACTAGTGCATTACAATGAATGTTGTTTCACTATCCAAGAGAGTGGGCCGCCAGCTAATCAACATCCTTCCACTGAGCTGAAAGATGTTGACTTTTCTGCCTTGTTACTGCATGGAATCGGTGTTTAGATTTTGACTCTTGGAACACTTTCTACATTTTCCAGGAGTATCTTCATAGAGTCGCTATGAGTCGTCTACAACTTGACGGCATTAAACAACAACAAACAACATGTGGATTATAATTCTGTGGCACTTCTCACTTCAATTACACGAGAAAGAAAAAATGTCAAACCCAATCCAACCCACTGCTGTTGAACTGGTTCCCTTCAGGACAGAGTAGGACGACCTCATAGGGTTTCTACGGCTGTCTAAATCATTACAGGAGCAGAGTGCCTCACGACCAGCCCCAGAGGGAGACTGTGGGTCCAAACTGCCAACTTTTCGGTTAGCAGGCCAAGGTTTAACCATTGTGTCAACAAAGCTTCTTCCTAATTACACAGACACAGAGGAAATAAATTTTTATGCTTATAGCCAGAAATAACACCTAATAGTAACTGGTGAAATTCTGTCAGTCAAACTACAGTTTTTCCTTTGCTTTGTTCAAGAGTTAAGTATTACTACTTAATATACTTACATTAGTGAGATGTATGAAAAATGGCTCAGAAAAACTTTCACATGTTGGTAAGAATGTTAAGACTTGAAGAGTCTTGCATACTGAACGAATCCCCTTATTTTATAAATAGGGAAACTGAAAATCACTCAACAAACCACAGGACTTACTCAAGGTAACATACTAGCCGTGGCAGGGACTCAACTAAAATCCATGTCTCAGTTCTCCAATCACCAGACACACCTGGTACAGGATCAAACACGGAGCTGAGTGAAATCTGGAGGACAAACAGGTGAGCAGAGGCAGTTGTGCTTACCTGTTTGGATGCCTGTTTCTTGCTCTAACTGATGGTAGAGCTTGTTTGAATAGTCTGCCATTTTCTGCTCGATGGTCAAGTGCCGGGCTGTGCTCAGGATGCCAGCACAGAACCGCGTGGAGCCAGCAGCCAGCCTGCAGAACAGATGTAAACAGGGCATCACTGAGGGGATGCAGACCACACAGTGTGACTGTCTGAGGGAGTGACACCAAAAGGGCAGTCTGCAAAGTTTTTGTGCAGAAATGTATTATTTTTAATAACAATATTTCTGAGAGCTCTGGTGGTCTAGTGGTTTAAGGAGTTGCACTGCCAACCCAAAGGCACATAATTTAATCCACCAGCTGCCGTGCGGGAGAAAGACGGCCAATCGCCTCCAGCTGATCTACTATCTTTGAACACGAGCTGGAGGGTCAGCTGTGGTTTTGTCTCTATGGTATTTAATCACCACCACCAGTACCAACAACAAAAATATTTTTTGTAAGGTTCTATCTCTCAATATACTTACCCAGCTAACACTCTTAATTTACTCTGTTTTTGTTTTGTTTTATAATTTACTTTCTGAACCTTCAAATGCACTCTCGTCTAAGCTCTTACTATTACCCAATTTACACTTCACCTCACACTGTGCAGGGCTGCTGGGGTTCTTTACAGGTGGTAATCTTATCAAATTTTCTGGTGTCTTAGCTACAATACATAGTATTTGTGAATCAACACTTTTCCCTCCAATTACTTCTTTAAGGATGAAATATTAACTAGAGAAAAACCAAGGAGAATGAGAATGAAAACAAAGCTTCTGTTCAGTTACTAATGTTGTTATGTGCCGTTGAGTCACCTGTGACTCATAGCGACCCTATGTAAAACAACCCTAAACCCTATTCTATCTCTTGCCAATCTTATTGCCTCTGACACACCTTTCCCATTACCCCAGTGACTGAATCAATCCACCTCATAGAGGATCTTCCTCTCCTGTGCTGTCTCTCTACCCTCCCAAGCATGATGTCCCTCTCCAAGGACTGGTCCCTCCTTGCAACATGTTCAAAGTATGTCAGATGAAGCTCCAGAATCCTTGTCTCCAAGGAACAGCCTGTCTTCACCCTCTCGAGGACGAACTTGTTTGTTCTCCTAACAGTCCATGGTATGTGCAATACTATTCTCCAGTAACACAGCTCAGAGGCATCAACTCTCCTTCTGTCATTTTTAGTCACTGTCTAACTCTCTAATGCATAGCAAGCAACCGCAAAGACCACGGCCTGTATTAGGCGTACTTTAGTCTCCAGACTGACATCAGTGACTAATAACATAGTAATTAATAATGCTCTACTTAAATGTAGAAAATGTTCATATTAGTTTTTTATATAACCTAAGAAAAATATATGTAAACACTCTGCAACTATACTTTTCACATTGTTGTTGTTGTTGTTATTATTGTGTAATTAAGACCTATAATAAGCATTAGTAAGGATATGTGCAGGGGCCTGGTATAGAAGGTGGCTCCTGAGCTACTGCTCTGGGGACTCTAGTGCACCCTAATGAAGCCACTGCAAATGCATCAGGGAGATACACATACTTGTGAAGTGCAACAATGATATTATAAGCAGTGCTACAGGGAAGAGCCTCAAAGTATTATTAATATCCTAAATTCCTGTCAACATTGAACTAATTTAAAAATCTGAAACTCTATATAATATTATCTAACATAAGACAATGGGAAAGCTCTTTAATGCAACAATCATGCTGAAAAGGGCATACCATCATTTGTATAAAAATGGGGGGGGGGGGAATGGAGTACTTAAACATACGTCCAGGGGACATATGTGGAATGATGCATGAGCAACTTAAATTTCTAGGTAGAGGTCAGGAATAGGAAGGAGGCTCTGCCCTCCTTATGGATGTTACATATGACACCGTGGTACATTCTAGGATGTTAACCAAACGGTCACAATTTGAATCAAATAGCTGTGCTGCGGGAGAATGATATGTTAGTCAGATTCCATAGAGATGACAGCCTGAGGGAGCTCTGGTAGCCTAGTGGCAAGAAGCTGTGCTGCAATCCCAAAGGCACACGGTTCAAATCCACCAGATGCTCTGCTGGAGAGGAGGTGCAATCTCCTCCTGGACCAGCTGGATCCGAGTCAACTGTACACAACAACAAGAGAAGATAGCCTTGGAAACCCATGGAGAAGTTCTGCTTCCTCCTAGAGTTACCACAAGTTGGAATTAACTACAGCAATTGGTCTGCTATGTATTTTCTATTTACAAATAAACAATTAAAATTTTTAAATGTTCTCCAAGTTGTGGCTGACAAGAACAAAAAGGCCTTAGTAACACCAACGTTCAAAGATCCTACTTTGCACAGGATCTAAATATTAAGAAGGCTGACCGTATGGTAAACAGGTCATTTCCCCCACATCACTCAGGTCTAGCTCTGGGGGGCTCCACAGTGAGCTGCACTGCTCAGCCAAGGGCTACTTGTTTCCAACAGTCTGAATCCTCCAGGAGGTCCACAGCAAGAAATGGTCAGTCTCCTCCCTTCACAATTCACAGTCTCAGAGGGTCACTCTGAGTCAGAACCAACTCATCAGCAGGCAAGTGATATTTCGTTTTGCTTTTGAGTAAAACAGATCATCATCTATGTCAGTGCTCCTGTCAAATCTGTAGTATTTACTTTGGTGATCCAATTTCCAACACTGGACTATCAGCTCCTTAAAGACAGAGGTTTTTCTATTGTCTTCGAAATCTACACAGTCACTTGTATGGTGTGCTGCCCGTGGTGCAAAGCTGTGCACTTGGGCTGACAGGTGGTGTCCTTCTACAGAGAAGCATTTAAAAATACTGTTGTCAGGCCTCCCCAGGTGTTTGTTAAAAGCTCCCCAGGAGTTTCTCATGTACAGGTGAGTCCTATGAGAAAGGGCCAATACTGGGGATGGAGAAAACAAACATCCAAATATAAAACATTTTAAAACCAAACACAGAGAAGAGTCTTTGATAGGAGCACTAGAAAACGGTTACTACCACTATCTGCTCTTATCTCATAAACTTCTAAGAAACTTCTTCAGAACTGATAATCCACCTGCAAATGAATCTGCTTTTCTAGGCCCTAGGCACAGAAAGAAGATTATTACTTTAAAAAAAAAAAGCAAGAAAACATCAAAGATCATTAAATAGAAGCTGCTGGAAGGAGTAGAACGAGGGATGAGTATTCCATTTTCCTGGAATAGTATAATCACCAGTGTGAAGTACCCTCGCCCCATGAGACCTTTAATATGTCTTATACAAATGAAAAGCCAAAGACCTAGCACAGAGGAGGACATCAAGAAAGGGTGATCTACTGTTCTGGAATAAGATTTACCTCCAGCCTGACACAAGACAGAAAGACACTTCCACGCCTGCTCCTACCTCTAGCTCTACTTTCTACATCTAAGGAGTCCTGGTGATGCAGGGTTAAAGCACTCAGCTCCTAAATAAGAGGGTGGAAATGTGAGTGCTCTAGTCATTTTGTGGGGAAGAGATGAGGCAGTCCATTTCCACAGATGAGCGACTTCAGAAATCCTCTAATTCGTGCTCGCTTCGGCAGCACATATACTAAAATTGGAATGATAAAGAGAAGATTAGCATGGCCCCTGTGCAAGGATGACACGCAAATTCGTGAAGCATTCCATATTTTCGACCCTGAAATGAACCAGTCTCTAACGAAGGCTGACTCCTAACTCCTTTCACCTACAAATTTCGTCTTTGGATACAAACCTAAGTGGATAGTCCTTGCCGAGGGACTGTTTCAAAAGAGGCAGGGAGAAGAAGAGAAAAAGGAAAAAAAAAAAAAGAAATCCTCTAATTCTCCTTTGTCCAATGGGTGTGGTGAGTTAGTTAAAAATCAACCTAAAGGCAACAGGTGTAGGTTACAACATCTACTATATAACCCGTATCTTCTGGAACGTGATATTGTTTCAAAAGAAATTACTTTTTAAGGCAATTATCAGAGAGTATTATGGAATTTGTAAGATGTAGTAGTAAAATACACATTAGCATAGAGTCAGAGAAGCACTGGAGTGGTATGATGTATTTGAGTCGATTTCAACTCAGAGCGGCTCTGTGTGTAACAGACTGGAATCCTGCCTATCATCTTGTACCATCCTCACAATCTCAGCTGTCAAAGCCACCGTTTGTAGTCACGGTGTCTGACAATCTTCTTCAATAACATTATTAATGTCCTTTTCCATAGACTGGCAACTTGCCCAAAGGATGTGCGAGGAAGGGTGACCACCTTTGCTTCTAAGGACTGCTCTGGCTGCCCTTCTTCTGCACCAGATTTGTTGATATTTTCAACAGTCCCTAGTACTCGCAAAACTCTCAGCACAAACCACAAAGGCATCAGAAAGATTAAAAAGCCAAGAGAGGAAATGAAGTATGATACTAAACAGGGTTTGAACTGGTTCTTCCTGGTTCAGTAATAACCAATGAGTGAAACTAGAATGGAACTCATTTTTCAAAATGTGAGTGAATCAGGACCATGACTGGAATGGGAATAATTACAGGACAACACCCAGGAAGAAAACAAGCGTAGTGTGAACGTTGTATAGCAACATACCTCTCAACATGAATAGTCGGGAAACAATGGTGTCCTGCTCAAGAAGCCAGTGACCCATGAGCTGAGAATGTGTATGGCTCTCCACGTCCTGTCTTCTACATCAGCCTCTTGAACGGGTGCCTCTTCCGAGTTTCCCATTCCAGGGCTTTGATCTGTGATGTCCCCATTTCAGTTATTGTCCTATTTCACGTAGGTCTGTTAGATTTCACTTCCTTGAATATGACTGAACTTGTCTGAACTGGTTCAAAGCCCTGATACTAAAAATACTTAAGCTGGGAGCTCTGGTGGCCTAGTGGCAAGAAGCTGCACTGCAATCCCAGAGGTATGCGGTTCAAATCCACCAGATGCTCTGCTGGAGAAGGAGGGGGCAATCTCCTCCTGTACCAGTCAGATCTGATTTGACGGTACACGTAAAAAGTAATACAATTAAAAATAAAGAAAAAACAAATAAAAATACTTAAGCTAAAATCAGGTGGAAAAGAGTAACAGGTATAAAGCCTACAGCAAGAGCAGTAAGAACGCAGCCCCCCAGTCAAGCCGGGCAGCTAACATTATTTAACAAGAACAAATTCTAGTAAAATTTTAATTACAAATAAAAACTCAGCAAAAGTAGGCCAGCAAAATCGACAACACTTTTAAGTGTCCCATTTAAGAGGAGCCTAAGGAGACATGACAATTAAATGGAAAGTGGTGTCTTGGATGGGATCCTGGAACAGAGTAAGGACTTCAAGGAAAAGCTGGGAGAACCTGAATAAAGCATGACCTCGTTAATAATCAATATTGGCTCCTTAATGATAACAAATGCACCATATTAATGAGATGTTAACAAGAGAGGAAACGGTGTGTGGGGCATGTGGGAATTCGAAACTATTTTTATAATTTTTCTGTCAATTTAAAACTGTCCTAAATGGGCAAAAATTATTCAGTTAAAAAAAGGCCAAGAGGAAGTATAGGCAGAACGGAGCCAATTTCACTTTCGCTCATGAAGGGAGTTGTAAGGATGTGGGTCACTACCTGTCTAATGTTACCATAAGGTGATTGTTGTTGTGTGCCATCAAGCTGGAACCACTAGCTGACTCTCCAGCCGGTTTTCAGAGGCAGCTGAATCGCACGAGAAGAGACTGCCCTTACTTTTCCCACAGAGAGCTGGTGGATTCAAACTGCACGCCTTTGGGATTCCAGCACAGTTACTTCCCACCAGGCCACCACAATTCCCTATACTATAAAGAGGGAACGAGACAACAGGATGTGTTGTGACCTTGAAAGGACATTGTTCAAAGACACTGCCTTCACTGGCTATGTGCTGTTGGTGGACAATACCACTGAAAGGAGACAAAACGAGAGCCTACTGCAGGGTCTGTGCAGTATTGCGATGAGCCCTCTCCAATGTGACCCTTACCTGCCCTGCTCCAAGAGGACAATATCCTTCCACCCCAGCTTGGAGAGGTGATAAGCCACGGAAGTGCCCATGATGCCACCGCCACAGATGACCACCTGTGCCTGGGCGGGCAGGGGGACGGAATGAGCTTCGGCAGCGGACGCACTGCTTCTTGTGGAGGGCCGGTTCTGCCATCCTGGGCTGGCTCTTGGCTGTCGGACAATGGAGAGCAGCCGGTAGAACATCTCGCCTATCAGCAACTGGAAGGTGTGAGCTAGGAGGATCCCACGAACTCCAGCTGGACAGAGGAAATCAGACATATATTTTACTTCCTTTAACCTAGTGCACAGGATTCATGTAAAAAGGATACACTAAAGCACAATGATCATTCCTTTAACAGTTATATGAGCACCGACTAAGACTGAGACACTTGACCAAGCTTGCAGACACAGCCTGAGCAGATCCTTGCCCTTACACGACTTACATTTCAACATGTTCATGTGTAATATGAAGTAAGGGGATAATACAAAGCTAACATGACAGAGCAACAAGGGGCCTATTTTAAATAAAGTGGTCAGCAAAGATCTCTGAAGAGGTGACAAGGGAGAAAGAGTCCTGATGGATGAGAAGGGCCCAGCTCTAGGAATGGTGGACACAGTGACCAGCATGTGCAAAGGCAGGGATGAGGAAGTCCTCAGTGAGTAAATGTGTTCTCTGTAGAGGAAGCAAGGAGGAGAGGAGCTAAGATGTGCTGGAAGCCACCTGTAAACGAAATGCTCTTTTGGCATGTTTTTAAGAAAAGAGGTTGGTTCTTGTAGAGACAACTGAGAGCAGTGGAGATGGGAGTTGGGATACCACTGCAGTCCTCCAAGAGGAGTATCACGGTGGCTTAGACCAGGAGGGCAGCATCGAGACAGAAAAAGGACTGTGAAATGTCAGGACTTCCTTCAACCTGCATGTTCAAGGTGAGGAGAAATGAGGAACTGGGTAGAAGGTGGTACCACTTACCACAGCGTGAAAGACCAGGGAGAGAGGGGAGAGGGTGAAAGGGGGGTGCATTCAGAGAATCAAATAGTCACTCTCAGACACGCTGAGCGTGAGATACTCTTCAGGAATCAAAAACAAACAGCAAGCAGCAGTTTCAGACAAGCCTACATTTGGGGAGGAGGTCTGGGAGATTAGTACACGAGACTGTGAAGAGAAAGAAGGGACTAGAGATGAGGATGGAACCTTGAAAGACTCCAAACAGAGAGCAGCCAGCTGGAGAACTAGTTAGAAGAGAGAGAGAGGTGAGAAGAGAGAGAAAACAGAGAGGTGGAGCTAGAGGCGGAAAGCAAGCCAGGCAGAGGGGAGGCTGAGAGAACCGAGTGTTTCAAGAAGTGATTAACTACAAGACGGTGCTGAGAGGTCAAGGATGGTTGACTAAGTGTCCTCAGGGACCTGGTGATGCAGATTCTTGGTTACTGGGGTGAGAGCATTTTTTGGGAGTGGCAGGACAGAAAAAGAGAAAATTGCAAAATAAACAGGAGATGAAGGTGTGCATACTTCTCCATTATACTCTATTTCAAAGGGGAGCAGGAAAAAAAGATACAAAAGCTACAAAAGAATATCAGATGAAGCAAAGTGCTTTTTTAAAATTTTTATTTATTTATTTATTTTATGTGTGTACTGTCAAATTGGATCTAACTGGTACAGGAGGCGATTGTTCTTCCTTCTTCAGCAGAGCATCTGGTGGATTTGAACCACGCACCTCTGGGATTGCAGTGCAGTTTCCTGCCACTAGGCCACCAGAGCTCGCCAAAGTGCTTTGTTTTTAAAGATGAGAGAAATTAAAAATACCTACTACTGGTGGGAATGGTCAAGTACAAGGTACAGAGATGACAATAAAAGAGAGGAAATAAAGAACAAGGCTCTTCAGAAAGAAAGAAGAGATGGGGCCCAGAGCCTAGGAGTCCAAGCGACCTTTACAAAAGGGTTGTGCTGGAGATTTGCAATTATAAAGGTAATTATTAGTCATGTTGAGCTTTCACATGAAGCAGGGAAGTCACAAAGTATAACAAAGCACTCATTTCAACAAAACAATAAATATAATAAGCTAGAGGACAACAAAGAGGATGGGCTCTTTCCATTAGGGAAGGATTAATGCAGAAAGCATGACCTGTTACCTTGCCAGCCTACTGCAGGAGTCCATCAGTTAACATTACTCCATATTACCTTTCAAACAGGGAATGTGGGAGTCTAGTCTGGACAAAACTGTACTGCTAAACCAAAAGTGGTGCTTCTCTGGCAGTTCAAATCCACCAGCTGTCCCAAAGGAGAAAGATCAGCAGTCTGTCCCAACTCAAAGGCAATGAGACTCCTTCAAATAAAACTAGATGGGTGAGGAAAGAACAGCAGGATATGAAGCTCTGGTGGCCTAGTGGCAAGAAGCTGCACTGCAATCCCAGAGGTGCATGGTTTGAATCCGCCAGATGCTCTGCTGGAGAAGGAGGGACAATCTCCTCCTGTACTAGTCAGATCTGTTTTGATGGTATGCGCGCGCACACACACACACACAAAATAATAATAATAATAAAAGAACAGCAGGATCATAAAAACAAGCCTAGCAGGATAAACTGAACTGCAAAGGTGGCAACAGAAACAGACTAAAAGGTATATTTCAAGAGGGAATAATGAACAATGCTAAAAACCCAGGATGAGGAGAACCATGGAAAGAATTTTGACCTTGTTCTCATCTTGACCTTCCTTAGAGTCAAGGAAATGGTGAACTGGAACTGACTCATAGCTGATTCTCCTCTGGGTTTCTGAGGCTATAAATCACAAGGGAAGAGATTGCTTACTTTTCTCCCAAAAAGCTGCTGGTGGATTAGGACCACCGGAGAGACCCAGCCTTTGGGTGAGCAGTACAGTTCCCTATGATTGTCACCAGGACTCCCTTGTTCAAAAAAGAAGTTAAAAGAAGAACCACATAATCATCTCTGTGAATAGTAACTTCCAAGCAGTCTTCAACCGAGAGCCGGTTCTACTCAAATCTGCTTAAACCAACAAGAGCAGGGTAACAGCACTGTTTTCCAGATGTTCCACTACAGAGTAATAGCAGCGTGTACAAGCGGGCTGCTGGTCAGAATACTGGCTGAGTAGAGATGAGGTCACACAGCATTTCCCACACTTGCTGCAGCAAAAGATCTACCTGGACACTTGTTGAAAACCCCAAAATTGGTAAAAGATTCTCAAGTTCCACCTCTCAGATTCTGATTTCACTGGTCTAAGATGCTATTATTTTTCAACCACTGTACAAAGTAATCAGGCAGGTTTAAGAAATTAGCACAAATTCCTTCCATTGGGAAATATACCCTTTGTCTTGGCTCTCTGCTTCCCTTCCACCTGCTCATCCTGTAGCATGCGTGAGTGAAATGGATTTGGAGATTCCATTTAGTGTCATACATATGCACCCCAAGGGAGTCAAACATTAAGATGAAAGCTCAGTGACCGGGCCCTACACTCTTCAATAGTATTACCTTCTGTGCAGGCATGTGGTTATTATCCTGTCACTGACAGAGACTTATATTTTGGGATAGATCTTGAAATGTACTTTTTGATGACGAATGCAATGCTATTCCTCTTCAATTTGTCATTTTCCGGATTATGGACCCTGTTTGCAGTCATCATCAAAAAGAACACTTTAAGTTCTTTTTGAGACACAGGAATCAAATCAAACATTTGTGAAAAGAGACCACAAGGGAGCTCAATTATCAGTGAGAACAAGGCCGGGGAAGATCCTCAATTACACAAACACTGAAGCTGAAGAAAACGAAAACAAGTCTACAAGAGACAAAGTGTGGCCTCAAATATATTCCACCTGAATTAAAATACCTCAAGAATCATTTGATGTACTCAATACTAATGACTGAAGACCAGATGAGCTGTGGGATGATAGAAAGCACATCATACACAATAAAAGGAAAAGGTCATTAAAAAAGACAGCAAAGAAAAGCCCAAAAGAGATGTCAAAAGAGACTCTGAAACTTGCCTTTGGATGTAGAGCAGCTGAAATTAAAGAAATGTTGGCATAAAAGAGCTAAACAGATTTCAAAGGGTGGCTTGAGAAGACAAATGTATTAGAATGTAATGTACAAATACCTGGAGTCGAATACCAGGAGGGAAGAACATACTCAGTATTTCCTAAGCTAAGAGAACTGAAGAGGGGGGGTGAAATTCAAGATTGGAGTTATTGGTGAGGTTGAGGAGAAACTGGAACCCTTATTCACTGCTGATGGGAATGTAAAATGGTGCAACCACTATGGAAGGTAGTATGATGCTTTCTCAAAAAGGTGGAAATAGAAATACCATTTGACCCGGCAATTCCACAATGGGAAATTTACCCTAAAGAAACCATAACCACCACCCAAACAGATATATGCACACCCATGTTTATTGCTGCTTTGTTCCTGATAGCAAAGAGTTGGAAACAACCCAAGTGCTCATCAACAAATGAATGGATAGAGGAGCTGTGGCATATTCACACAATGGAATATTATGCAGCACTGAAAAATAAGGAACTCAT